AAATCGAAGAATGATGTAATGAATTTTCGAAAAATCAAACAAAAATTGATTCTTCCACTAAAACGTTACCTTCATATAAAGTGTACAATAAAATAGCCAAATTGTGGTAAAAACTTATACAAAAAACAAACAGTTAGATATTCAAATTAAAGATGAGAATTTATTCTTTCATCAATACTAATCAATAATGATAAAATTACAATTGAGTCCAGGTCCAATTAAATTTTAATTAATATGGGGTTAAACTTTTCTATATTGGAGAGTGCTCTCCAAAATTGGAGAGTAGCCATCGATAATGGAAGAGTATATCACGGTTTTTTCCATGTGTGTGTGTGTTTGTTTACAATTTTGAATTTTGTGATAATCAAAAGTATCAAAGTTTTAATTTCATATTTATTGAATCATGGGCAAAAAACAACATCAAAAAGATAAATTATATTTGACGGCCACCGAATGGCGAACATTATATGGCGGTAGACGTGCCAATGATGAATATCATACACATCAAGAAGGTTTAGAATTTAAACGTTTACCATATGATCATTGTTCATTATCATTACAACCATTTCGTGATCCATATTGTACAAATAATGGCGTTATATATGATCTAACAAGTATTGTTCCATTTATCAAAAAACATGGTATCGATCCATGCACAGGTGAAAAGATTGAACTGAAACAATTGATTAAATTGAATTTTCATAAAAATACAGAAAATCGTCATCATTGTCCAGTATTGTTTAAAGTATTTAATGAAAATACTCACATTGTTGCCATTAAAACTACAGGAAATGTTTTTAGCTATGAAGCTGTTGAACAATTGAATTTGAAAACAAATCACTTATTCGATTTGATCACAGATCAACCATTTACTAAAAAAGATATTATCGAAATTCAAAATCCGCTTGATTTGAAAAAATTTAATATCAATGATTTTTATTATGTTAAAAATAATTTAAACGTTTCGGATGATAATGATGAAAAATCAAATCTTCGTACAATCAATCCTGAAACAAGAGAAACATTAAAAGAATTGAGCACTAAAGAAGAAAATGAATTTCTTAAGAATTTATCCCAAGAAGCGCAATCATCGAAATCGATATCTAAAGCAAAGACAGATAAATTCAATGCAGCACATTATTCAACTGGTCATGCTGCCGCATCATTTACATCGACAGTTATGCCGGTCGTATCAACTGTTGAAGCTGCCCAAATGGATCAATACGAAATTCGTTATCAATTTGTCAAGAAAAAAGGTTATGTTCGTTTGGTTACTAATTTTGGTAATCTAAATTTGGAATTGTATTGCGATAAAGTGCCACGTACATGTGATAATTTTATTCAACTTTGTCGTCGTGGTTATTATGACAATTGTCGATTTCATCGATTGATTAAAAATTTTATGCTTCAAGGTGGTGATCCAACAGGCACCGGTAAAGGTGGTGAATCAGCTTTTGGCAAATGTTTTGAAGATGAATTCTGCAAATTATATTCACATGAAGGAAGAGGTGTATTAAGCATGGCTAATAATGGACCAAATACAAATAAATCACAGTTTTTCATAACATTTCGTTCATGTAAATATCTTGATAATAAACATACAATTTTTGGACGATTAGTTGGCGGAATGGATGTATTGAATAAGATTGAATCAATAAAAACGGATGCCAAAACTGATCGACCATTAGAAGATATTATTATACTGAAGACAATGATATTTGTTGATCCATATAAAGAAGCCGAAGAATTGATTGAAAATGAACGAAAACAAGACGAGAAAAAACAGCTACAATCATCATCTAAAATGAAAAAGAAAGATGATATACCGAAAAAATTACGTAAAGGTGTTGGTGCATTCATTAATTTAAATGCCATCGATAACAATGATAACGAAGACGAGACAAATATTCCCAAAAAGATTTTAAAATCTAAAACAACAATAAAATCAACATTTGGAGATTTTAAAAATTGGTAATCACTTTATTTGAATTATTTTTCAATTATTTCTGTACAATTTATTAAAAATGAATAAAATTAATACAAACGCATTCGTCGTCCAGTTCCTGGACGATCTAATAAAATATTAAATTTGTTTGCATATTGATTAATTGAATTTGAACATTTTGTAAGCGTTCCAAGATAGGTGATCAATGCAACATCATTACATTGAATGTAAAAATCTTCATTAAATGTATCCGAACTGATTAATGGTAATCGATGACAAAGGTTTAATATTTCACGTAAAATCTCATGATTTGCCGGAATATTTTTGTTTTTAACATCTTTGACAAAATCCAAAATCAATTTAATACGATCACGTAACATTTTAACGGCACTATGTTGCACACGAAGATGTTCGGTAACGACGGAATTGACATTTTCTCCGTTATGCGATGTGGATGTCATTCGAGCCATATGATCCAAAACAATACGTTCAGCTTCTTCAGTGGCCAACGTAAATGGTACATCAACAAACAACATTGTCGGTGCACCGGCAACCATATCGATGATTGATTCATAAATCTTGATCGGCAAACCAGTATGACGGCCCAATGGATTAAGTTTCAAAAACAAACAACTTTCATTAATTTCAACCATTTGTTTATGAATTAGCATATCGTTTTTATTGGCTGCATCGCCATTTGTGTACCAACCAAGGAATTCCATTTCGGCAAATACTTGTTTAAATTGTGCCTCTTTTGATCGATAAAAATCCATATCGACCAATGGTGCATTATCGATTATATCCAATTTAAGTTCGAATGAATTCATAATTTCAATATTGCGTCCTTTTTGTTTACCAATCAGTGCTCCAAAAACTTTTGTTTGCTGTTGTTGACCATTATTACAATTCAAACCATTTTGTGCACATTCTTGAGCACGAATCCGTGTCCAATGTTCGGAAACATTAAGAATAACCAATGGATGTAATGAAACAGAAATAGCAGCTGTAATCACTGAACTTGATGCTAAAACTGATTCACCATTGTTTGTATCTTTCGTGACATCATGCATTTCGCTATCGATTTCCATTGCAGCTCCAACCTCAGGAACGTTATCATTTTCACTAACATCCATTTTAGATATCGAAGTTGTTGTCAATTTGGCTAAAAGAAATAAAAAAACGAATCAAAACTTGAGAAAAATTTCACGATCGAATCAAACAATGAACATGCCAATTTGGATCCATTCAAAGAATCAATGATCTTGAGATATTCGTAATACGCAAACTCCAAATGTGTCTCAATAAATTTTAACGCTGAGGTGTCTTTCGGCGGATTCTTTTTTCATATATGTTCCATTGATTCATTCATTCATCCATTGGATTGTAATATTGTCTGAAAGGTTCCAAACTGTGATATATTCGTTTTAATCATCTCATTATTCAATTAGTAAAATTGTATTCAACATTTGAGAAAATGTGGCCAAATTTTGCCATCATTGTTTTCTTTTTAACATGTTTTATTCTGGTCACTTTTGCTGGGTAAGTTGTTTACCATCAATGTTCTATCATATATTGGCAATTTTTTTCATAAATATAGGCGAGATTTTTATGATATACTTGGAGTGTCCAGAAGTGCAAATATTAACCAAATTAAAAAAGCTTATCGTAAACTTGCCAAAGAGTTGCATCCGGATAAGAATAAAGATGATGCAGATTCGACGAGAAAATTTCAAGATTTAGGTGCTGCATATGAAGTTTTATCTGATCCTGAAAAACGTAAAACATATGATCGATATGGTGAAGAAGGTTTGAAACAGGATTCATTCAGTGGTAGTGATCCATTTTCAAGGTATGTTTTATTACTTTGTTTAACTTATCATTTAAAAATTAATAAAATTTTTTAGTTTTTTTGGTGATTTTGGTTTTTTCGATTTTGGGGGCGGTTCTCGACATGGTGAACAACGAGAAATTCCAAAAGGTGCGGATGTCGTAATGGATCTATGGGTTACATTAGAAGAATTATATTCGGGAAATTTTGTTGAATTAATACGTAACAAAGTTGTGTACAAACCTGCATCTGGTACAAGAAAATGTAATTGTCGTCAGGAAATGGTAACAAGACAGCTAGGTCCAGGTCGTTTTCAAATGATGCAGCAACAAGTTTGTGATGAATGTCCAAATGTCAAATTAGTGAATGAAGAAAAAATGCTAGAAGTAGAAATCGAACCTGGAATGGAAGATGGCCAAGAACAGCGTTTTATTGCCGAAGGTGAACCTCATGTTGATGGAGAACCAGGTGATCTTCGGTTAAAAATTCGTACATTACCTCATCCAGTGTTTGAACGTCGTGGTGATGATCTTTATACTAATGTTACCATTTCATTGGTCGATTCATTGATAGGATTTCAGATGAACATTACACATCTGGATGGACATCAAGTTCATATTACTCGTGATAAGATAACATGGCCTGGTGCACGAATGCGTAAAACGGGTGAAGGAATGCCAAATTATGAAAATAATAATCTTCATGGTATTTTATACATTACATTCGATGTAGAATTTCCCAAAGGTGAACAATTAAGCGAAGAAAAACGTGCTCAGATCAAAGAAATATTCAAAAGTGAAACCAAAGCTAATGCCTATAATGGTCTTCGTGGATATTAATTTTTAGTATCGGTCTGCAAAAAAATGAATATACTCTTCTCTTGTAAAATGATTCCCTTTGGTTGAACCATCTACAATTTTTTTTTGATTTAATTTTTTAGGGTGTAAATAATTAAACATTTTGTTTATTGAATAAATAAAAAAAAATTTTCAAAATATTCTATTTCGAATATATTTCGCTAGATGGAAGCTTTGACTTTGATTCGCCATATTGTTAATTTTTTTTTCTTCTTCAATAATTTAATTTATTTTAATGGCTATTTTTTAAAAATGTTTTTTAAATTCGATTTTATGATAATAATGTATTCGTCAAAAGTTTAAAATTATATATCCCCCTTTTTTTAAAGATATTCTTTTCACTATTTTTATTCTCCAAACAAAAAACACACATATGTTTAGCTAATTAAATAGTCAGGAAATTCTGGAAAAAAAACAAAACAATAATAACAATTCAAAAGAAATATATTTCATTTGTAATTGTCATTGTTTTTTGTTTTTGTTTTTGTTTGTTTTTATTGCCTGAATTTGCAAGAAAAAGAAGAAAAAATCGGATATAATTCAAATGAAAAAAACACTGTCGTTGTTTTCTATCACTTTTGCCTTATAACCATTTCGAAACACGACAGAATTGTAAATACACCAAGGACCAGAATGTATTTCTTTCCTTTATGCGCTATCACCATTTCAAATTCATAGAATCTTTTTTGTTTTCTCAGTAGGTTTTTCTCTTTATCAATGTTTATTTTTCCATGGAATATATAGATAAATATAAGTGTTTCGTTTTCTTTTCGAGAAAAAAAAAATTTATATCTAATGTTACACATCATATCATTTCATTGAAACTACTACCAATATTCTTCCAGTGAAACCAAACAACAACAACAAAAGATTCCAAAAAATTTTCTAAGCAGAAGCAATAATTGACTTGGCAAAACAACAAATGATAAAAGAATAAAGAATTTCGAAACACAAATTCTCCCACCAATACACAGACACATAACAAATATGTGCTGTATGTTTTTTTTTTTGTGTGTGAATGGTATGTTCATTGTATTGAACAAACAAAAAAAACTAGAACTGGTTTTTTGTTTGTTTGATTATCAATGAATAGAAAATTGTTAGCTACTGTTACTATTAACAATTTTGTTGTTGTTGTTGTTGTTTGTTCCAGGAACCAAGTGATAACATTAAATAATGCGTCTGCCTTATTTTCTCACACTCATCTTTATCATTTGAATTTAATTCTGTCAATATTTTTTTGGTTTTTTGATTTTTATTTAAAAAAATTTTCAACTGATAATATAATTTTCAGATATTTTCTTCGGATTAAACGGGAATTATTCAAGAATTTCATAATTTGAAAATTATTAATAAATTGGTCCAACAACAAAAAAAACGTTCCAAAACTGTTTTTATTTTCATTTGAAAAATCAAACTACAATCTAACCACCCAAAAAAAGATTAAAAATTACCTAAATTTGGTTCAAAAAAAAAAAATCTTTTCAAAATTTGGAATTACTCTCTGTGTGTTATATTTATTTATTTATTACCCGAAGGGAAACACATGGACAAACTACAACATTATTACAGATCAACATAATTTTTTTTTTGTTACATGTTTCAAAGATAATAGAACCTAGAAATTTTATACATGCTGTGTGATCAACGAAAAAAAACATGTAAAAATGATCTGTATAGGGGATTGTTATTGAAAATAGGAAGAGATCTCACTGTTTTTTTTTGTTGTTCCATAATGCGATTTTGGACATTGGTCTCTCTCTCACTCACTCATTCAATGATGTCCCCTGGTGTATTTTGTCAAGATTGATGATAATACTTTTGGACTTATGGTTTTCATGTCTGTGTGTGCTGTTTTGGTGGAACAAATCACCATTTTTACTAAAATATTCAACGAATTTGTAAACCAACAACAAAAAAATGATGAGGATTTTCTGTTTCATTTCCATTTATTTCAAAAAATTAAATGCAGCAGAAACAAAAATGATAGATTGATTGATTGATGAAGAGCGAAAATTAATAAAATGAATGCATCGAATAAAAGTTTTACTGAACAATTTTTAATCGTTAGTTTCCAATTTAAAAAAAATTTCAATTTTGATTCATTTTAAACATAATCATTTAGATAACTAATTATCATTTCATCTTTTTTGTTAATGTCCGAATTTTCTTCTTATTTTTTTTCCAAGTATACCGACACATGTAACCGATAACTACTGGAGATAATGTAAATATTTTGTTCCATAAATATTTTACGGGAAGGTAGTAAATGACCGAAAACAAAGAACAACAACAACTGCAAAATGTCTAATCGAAATCATGAATAAAATGAAATGGCGACTATGATTCGGCTTTTTTTTGCTATTGCTACTTCTACGGGCTGGCTGTTTTGATGATAATGGCCGACAATATCCTCATTCGCTATATACATTGAAGCGGCTTGCCGTTGAAATTTGAATCGATTTTTTTTTCTTCTTTTGCTTTCTTTGATAGAAGAGGCCAGGCATGAAACGAAACGAAACGAACTGAAATGAAATGAAATGAAACAAAATGTGAATGCAATGAACACAAAACATACGAACTGATCTGAACTGAACTGAACTAAACCGACAACTATTCAATGAGATTGAGAGTCAACCATTCATTCATTCATTCATTCATTCATTTTCCATTATCATAGACAAAACATAACTATTACAAAATGGTAATGGCTACAATACAGGAACTCAAACCAAAAAAAAACAACCAGAATCAAACGAAATGATCATTATGATCCAACAATTCACTGGTCTTTTCGTGGAAAAAATGAAATGAAATAAAATTTATGTATTTTTTTTGTAATCACCGATTAGTATCAATAAATTTGCTTAATCGATTGTGACTACACACAATCAACCAGAAAAAAAAAGAATAAAAAATCAAACATGATCATCATGCTGTATGGAACGCGTTTCATCGTTTCATTCATCTTGTTCGCGCTCTATTCTGTGTGTTATGTATATAAAAAAAACACAACCACATCATATCAATTGATATACACTGAACAGCGATTAGTATATTTTCAGTGAATATTGTGTGTGTGTGTGTGTGTATATCAAACTTGGGGCTCTATTCAGTTCATACACAATATATATTTGGCTTTGCTTTTTTTAATATTTTCTTCCCCCCCGAATGTACTTTGGGTTTTGGGTTTTATTTCATTCATTCTTGTTGTTTTTTCCCCGTCAACGGACTGGACTCTTTTGAAATATTTTTTTTCTCTCTCTCTTGTTTTTCCTTTGGAACCTCTCTTGATAATTCTATATATGAAAAAAAAAATATTCGACTCTTTGTATTTATATCGAATTTGATTGGAATATTGTTTTTGAGAATATTCTTCGTAATATTGTCAAACAAAAAAAAATATGCTAATGAATCCTGGATTTTTTTTTCTATTTGCTTGTTTTAAAATGTTCACAATCATCATTCAATTCAATTTTTTTCCCTCATACTGATTGATTGGATTTGATTCTGAAGAATTTCTGGATAAAATTTTTTTTTTCCTGACCAAATAAAAACAAAAAATCCTCATTAACACCATCTTTTTTTTCTCTCACGTTCGATTCAGCTACAAAAAAAAACATTGAGAAAAAAAACGAATCATTAGCAAAGAATTTTTTATTTTTGATTTTATTTTCTGAATTCTTTAATTTGAATGCTGACAAAAAAAAGGAAAAAAATATATTCGAATGTGATGACATAATAGTGATGATCATACGATCATACGAACAGAGCCGAGTGATGACTGTAGTTTTTTTCCGCTCTCTTGTTTCCCAAATCTTTTTTTTTCGGCTCATTTTTCCATCTTTTTTTTTCAATGTGTGTGTATGTGTGTTGTGGTTCTCACCAATCTTCTTTTTTTTTCGACGAATATTCAAGTTGTACTTATATACGTATAGTATTTGGATTGGTATAGTGTGTTCTGTATTTGTATACGAAACTCAGGATCTATTGAATAAAAAAAAAATGAGTGAGTAAGTGAGTTGGTTTGTCTGTCTATGTGTGTGTTTTTTTCGGTATAAGAGTTTTATGTTATTTTTTTTTCTTATTCCTTTTACCCGAAATTTTCTTCTTCATCATCATCATCATCTTCGTCTGATTATGATGTTGATAGTGATGATGATGATGATGGTGATGATAATTTTCCAATACACAAACACACAACAACAACAATAACAACCAGATCTTTCTCTATCTTTTCAACAACAACAACAACAGAAAAAACTCTCCTGGATCCATTCAACCAACTAAGCAAAAGAAGAAGAAAAAAAATGAAAAAACTAAAACCATTGAAAGAAAAACATCCTCACATACATAGACTCACAAACAACACAACACACACCTAGCTATTTGTTGTTGTTGTTGTTGATGATGATGATGATTTAGTTTTTTTTTCTTGACTTTTTAATAATTATTCTTTGTTGTTGTTGTTGTTGTTCAATTAGAATTCGATCCAGAAAATCGATGGATTTTATTTTTCTTTTTAAAGAAAAAAACAATTGTGTTGTGTCTGTGTATTCATCATAATTGAATTTTTTTCTTCTTTATCATCGTTGAAAGAAATGAAATTTCTTTTTCCATTATGATTTCTTCGATTTGATCGAGGAATTGTGTGTGTGTTTGTGAATTTCTTCGAATTTTTTTTTTTTTTTTTTTTTTTTTTTTTTTTCCACCCTTTTTTAATTTTTTTTTTAAAAACAAAAAAAAAAAATTTTTTTTTTTTCT